TAGCACTCAGGTAAAACTGACAGTAATATTAAAACCATTACAACAAGCTTAAATAATGGAAATGTAAAGACACGTTATTGATTAGGATATGTGATGAAACTTATTTTTTTTCTGGTTCCTTTCATAGCATTACACTTGGTGGTTTTGGAGCGGACCGGTTTTACCTGGGCCAGTGGAGAGAGGGTCTGGGCAAACTGTTCAGCTTTGGAGGCCTAGGCATTTGGACTTTGATTGACGTCCTTCTAATAGGGGTTGGTTATGTAGGACCCGTTGACGGTTCTCTCTATATCTGAAGCAAAGCCCTGGGGACATGGCTGGCTTTGCTCTTCACACTGCTTCACTCTCAAAGGACTGAAGAGCTGAGATGCTGTGTTCTTAGCACATTTGGCTGGCTAAGCTCGCTGTGTAACACATCTTCATCCCATCTGCTAACAAGCAGGAAGTGTTTTCTTCATCACACAAATGATGATTCTACCCACACAACCATCAGATTGATCCCAATCATTCTGCGTCCATGTCCTGTTGAGATTGCGCAGATGGTGCTGTGCAGGAGTATAAGGAACCGGTAATTACCTCTGTCCAGTTTCTTTGACTTAACTAGTGGTTAGGCTCTGTCTTGCTGATAGGTACCTGTGGTTTCCTGTGGAGCAACGCTTTTCCATTAGAGTTGTGCATTGCTTCTCTCTTGTTGCAAGTTAAATGCTTTAATAGGGGTCAAATGGTAACCATGGCCATGCAGAATTTTATAGTGTCACCACACAAAGGACAAATTGAAAGGTGATATTTATATCCTGAAAGTATGAATGTGCAGAAGGGATTTAAGGCGTTTTTTTTATTGATTGTCATTTCAGTGGACAACCTGAACAGTTATTTCAGCACGTACTTTATTTCTTCACCTACATTCATTCAGCAGTGCAGGTCACAACTGTAAGAACACTCTCCAAACAGGGGTACATTTTATTTTATAAAAGTTCATATGTTTAATAAATGAAAGCTACTATAGTCTCACAACAGCATTGGGTAGTAAACCACAAGGAAGTAGTGTAACTGTCTCTTCCTGCAGCATGTAGTTGGATTTCAGTTGCAGAACAGATAACAATCGGTGTATGATTGTGTTTGTGATAAATATTGAAACGCTTGAAATGTGCTGCAATAGCAAACTCGGCTCCTTGTGATTTCCGTGTTGGAGATATCCTCTGCATTTAAGTGGCAATTTTCTGTGAAATCGTCATCATCCTTTACAGAAGTCTGTGTACTAACACTGTAAAATCTTTTACAGTGTGTCAATATGTGTCAATTTAAGTTGGTTTTTTTCCTCTGTAAGGGCACTGTAAATTTTGTTTTTTAGTTAAGAAAATAAAATTGTGAAATATTTGTTTATCAAATGTACACAGCACTGCTAACCAATTCACTGTGCATGTGTGTTTTTTAAATGTATTTATAGTGTATGGTAACACCAGAGAACTTTGAAAGGAAAAATAAGAGGTCAATATTGTCAGTTGAAGGGTCACACAAATATACTGACATACTCAGTTGATTACAGCAGAACTACAATTACTTGAACAGGACTGTTTCTTTATATCTATATATATATAATTAAACAGTGAAAGGTGCCAGTAACCTTCATTACCCACAGGTTTGTGACACCAGGAGGGTAATGCAGTGGCCAGGCAATGTTCCCCTTTTAATAAAATATCATTAAAGAGCCCATAAACAAGGCAATGAATAGCTGCAGGGGACTGTAGCTAAAATGTTTATCCAGAGGGTAATGGTTAGTTCAGTTAATGCATTAGGCTGTAATTCTAAAATTGATATAAATATATATGCAACCACGTTACATAACAAGGTTTGAAAAAAAATGAAAGAAAGGGGGGAAAAAAACAAACATTTCCTTTCTAGCAGGTTCTTGGGCTTTGATACGACTTTTCCAATTGGTTGCTTTGCTGAGCGTTTTAAATTTACTCCACCCTAATTCTAGTTCCCCAATTTTTACTCCACCCACTCGTAGTCACTACAGCTCCCTCCCACAGACTGATGTAAGTGTTTGTCATCTTCTCTGAGTTGAGGAGGAGACGTCTAGTGATTATTTCTTCTTGGAGAGCTGTAATTTAAACACCAACCAGAGGCTTTTCAACTCTGCATCCATAATATACTCTTGATAATATTTGTTCCTACTGACTGCTCCAGCCTTACCTCAGTTTGAATCATGCTGTACTGTTACATACTCACATTAATGGATTTATCTGGACTGTGAACTTGATGGGTACAATTAGTCAGTGGGTTTAGCATAGATAGGTAATGGTGTAAATGTGTGCAATATGACTACATGACTATATGGTATAGGCTTTTAAAACCATGTAAAATAACTAGCAATGCAATGATGGAGTAATTCAGCAGTATACTGCTTAATTCACAGTGGTGTTACATAAAGTTATACAATACTTAATACATATGAAAAGCTGTGAAGTTTTATTCTTTAACAAATGTACTCTCCACATCCTTCTAATTCTCTCAAGTCCTAAATAAATAGCGTAATGACCTTACTAAATTTTATTCATATGTAACTGCACACTGCCCAATTACAAATAATGGCCCCTGTGATAGTTGGTTTTTCTATTATCTGTCTTTATCCTATTTGGTGTAAGTATGAAACTCTCCCTAATGGTTATTATAGAGAATCATCATATGAGAATAATAGTTTAATCTTGTGGTACTTTTCTCAAACAGTCATTATTCTCACTGCTAACATTAACAGTTACATGGAGTTGAGCCAAAATATTATCTGTTTAAGGCAGACAGTATCACGACTTCCTAATTTTGAATTGCTAATCATGCAAAGAGAACAAAAGTTTATTCATCCCTCTCTTACGCAACCCCACTTAGTCCCATTGCATCTCTGAATTTTAGAGCATAGTCCCTGAACCTCTGCATCCAACACTGCCTAAGAGCTTGTGTCCTCCCATTGTGCTTACTCCTACAGGAAATAAGATTTCTAACAAAAACGTGGATCGACAGAATGATGCAACCACATGAATTTAAAAGTCGTAACAGCTCTACGAGCATCCAACAGCACGGTCCCTTCTTTCATATCCAAATGGTTGCTCAGAACTATTGGAAACCGCCTGAGGACAAGGCACAAATTACATTGCTCATAAAAAGTAATACCCACTATTGTATCTTTTCATTTGGCTTTGCAACAACATGGGATCACAATGGAGTAATTAGTTTTATACAAATGAGCAGAGATGATTTATCTGTGCAAAAGGGAAAACAAAGCTCTGAAATATCTGAATTGAGGACAAACAATTGGTTTTGGCCTCCTTTGTTCTGATATTTCACTATTGTGGTAGGAAGTTGTTTTTGTAGTCATTGAGTGGCTAGCAATTTTCAAATACATAAAATCTGTATGTAAAATGCAGAAAAGGAACATCTGCAGGAAAAATGTAAATGTATAAGGAAAGCAACATGGACATGCTTCTCCATAGCAGACCCTGAAAGGCTTGTAAAAGAATGTTTACATAAACTGAGCAAACAGACAAAATCAGGGGGGGGGACCATGCTGCAGTGTACAAAGAAGACAGATGTGATATTCCCCAGCAGACAACACCAATCACCAAGCCAAATTTAGACAGGAATGTACTAAAACAATGATCCTGTCCAATAGTCACTTCAGAATCCAAACCTCAATCTAATTAAGATGCTGTGGCAAGACTCGAGAACAGCCGTTCACTTGCAGTCGCTGTGCGACCTGACAGAGTTAAGTGCATGAATGGTATGTGTATGAAAGGTTGTCTTAATCTAAATTCAATGGATAGTTTGCATATTACCATAGCAAGATGCAATAAATGATCAGTAGTCAAGTACATGTTGCATTTTTTAAAATAATCCCCCCATGTTTCCTTTTCTCAAATGGCTTGTTATATATCCATCCAATGATAAAGTCATAGGATCAAATAATCCAAAAAAATGTCATCATCCTCCCATCTGTGCAATTCATTTAAAAAAACAAAATAAAAAAAAACCCCAACAACTTGAATGAGCCAATTTTGCTTTCCAAGTTTGGAATAGCTTCTACAGTCTGGGCACAGTAACAACATCTCACTTAATCCTGCTCACATATTGAAGTCAAAAATAAGATTAGTCGTGTTCATTTGAAATGACCAAAAGTAATGTCACAAAAAGAACTCAGGCAGAGTGCATATTTAGTGATTTATTTGTACAATAGGAATTGCAGTGTACAAATACCCCATCTCAGATGTAAAGGCAAGAACATAAGAGCATCTATTCTGGCCGACCTGAAAATCCCTCAAACCTCATTGTGGGCTTCGACTGATGAAAACATGGCAAGGAGAAGTAAAACTTAAAAAAAAAAAAAAAAAAAAAAAAAAAAAAAAAAGCAGCAACAATCAAGCAGCTAACTGCTGAACATGTATAGGGATAAGGAGAACCTTTCCAACCAAGTGTACCAAAAATAAAAATAAAACAAATTTACAAAAATAATGTCCAATTTGAACATTCCAATCTTCGTGGCAGTGGAGCAATTATGGCCTCAGTTTAAGTAGTTTGTAAAAATGGAACTCACATTAGACAGACACAGAAAAGGCATATGGCGATATCTCTATCAAGTCCATGTGCCTGTGAGACTTACACATTTATACGCCATCCACAAACAAGATCTTTTTTTCCTTTTTTAAACACATACAAGAGGACAAG